CTTACTCGCCTATTCAAGTTAACTCAATGCCTATATGTCTATGGAATTAAGATTAACAAGAACGCATTTACAATTCCTGTATTTTTAACCAAGCAAGGGCAAGTTGGGTATATGTCTACTCCCAATTGCAAATCCCGTTCCCCGAGGCCGTGGGTTCAAGAACTTGCTCTATTTAATTCTATATGCAACCTAAAGTTCCCACTTTCGAGTTCAACTCTAGATTCGTAGATAGTATTTCACTGTTAGCTACTCAGCAAAACAATTAACAGTAGAATTAAATAAACCAACCCAAGATGATAAACCAACTTTGTCAAATTAAACCTCAAACAACAACATTCATATTTACCCATGACCCTAGAACAATGGGTTTTAGCTACATAACAACATATGAACCCAGTAGTTGATTTGGTTAAGATGTTAGTCAAAGTTCAACCTGTGAACTGGTTTGGTAGTATTTATATTACTGGTAGCAATTTTTGATCCAGCTAGGGAATAATTGGCTGTCTGCATTTGAATAGAAGTCTTAGATATCACTGATATAGGCATTTNGGTTCGGGGGGGGGGGTATTTGTTTGGGGTTGGGGGTTTGGGTGGGGGGGAGGGGTGAGTTGGGTTAGTTGGTTTGGAAGTAATTTTTGGTTACAGGGGAAGTTGAGAAGCATTTGGAATTTGAAAGGTTGAAGTGGGTTTGGAATTAATATGGAATGAATTGTAATTAAAGAAGAGGAGATTGTTATAAATTACTACTAAATTTAAAAAGATATTTTTATCTATAGAAAGTTTAATGTTCGCATTACTAATATATGTTTTCTTATTTTATGTCCTATTTCATATAAATAATAAATATATTTTTATATAAATTAATGCATGTATTATAATATTACTAATCTGATATTGTATTAATTATGTGGGGATTATTATTTTTTATACAATCAATCAAATACTATATTATCTTATGAGTAATTTTATCCTGAAATTAATTATTTCAACCTGTCAACCAAACGACGTCAACCGAAAAAGAATAAGAAAAATTAGGAACTTGAAATGTCGTGATTTTTTATTGTATTTTTTTCATTGATTTAGGTAAATTGAAATGTTCAAGTATCAAAAAGTGACATCTATATCTCAACGCACTACCACGGAGGATAAGATTTAAGGACACTCAAATTTGAGACCTTTTCTAGTTTTATGTCTCTTATTTTATTATGAAGTTTTCTAAATATTGTTGTTGTATAGTATTATATTACTTT